AGATTTAGTCTAAGTATTTTATCTTCCTGGGGCTATTGTAAATGGTATTCATTTAGTGATTTCCTCTTCGAGGTTCTCTTTGCTGGTGTAAAGGAATCCAACTGATTTTTGTATGTTTATCTTGTATTCTGAAACTTTGCTGAAATCTTCTATTAGTTCCAGTAGTTTTCTTGTGGATTCTTCGGGGTTTTCTGTGTGTAAGATCATATCATCTGCAAATAGAGATGCTTTTGCTTCTTCCCTACCAATTTGGATGCACTTTCTTTCTTTTTTAGCCTAATTGCTCTGGCTAGGACCTCCAGCACGATGTTGAATAAGAGTGGTGATAAAGGGCATCCTTGTCTGGTTCCCTTTCTCAAGGGGAATGCTTTCGAAGTTTCTCCATTTAGGATGATGTTGGCTGTTGGCTTTGTATAAATGCCCTTAATTATACTGAGGAATTTCCCTTCTATTCCTGTTTTGTTGAGAGTTTTTATCATCAATGGGTGTTGGACTTTGTCAGATGCCTTTTCTGCATCGATTGATAAGATCATGTGGTTCTTGTCTTTATTAATGTGATGGGTTACAATGATTGTTTTTCTAATGTTGAACCATCCCTGCATAGCTGGTATAAATCCCACTTGATCATGGTGAATTATTTTTTTGATATGTTGCCGAATTCTATTGGCTAGAATTTTGTTAAGGATTTTTGCGTCGATGTTCATGAAAGATATTGGTCTGTAATTTTCTTTTTTTGTGGTGTGTTTACCTGGTTTTGGTATCAGGGTTATGCTGGCTTCATAGAATGAGTTTGGGAGTATTCCATCCTTTTCTGTGCTTGCCACACTTTTTACCCTGTTAATTTCAGAGATGTCTGTAGCTCCCTGGGTGGATGCTGGAGGGCTGGCTGCTTGTCTTGCTGCCTTCACAATGCCTAGGCTTAAGCCTGTGCCTGATAATGACTGAACTCCAGCCCTGCCTCGCTTGTCCCAGAGTACCTGTACCTCGGAGTTCTCTTCGGCAGCCCGGTTGGGATTTGGTTCCATGTTAATTGGAAGAGTTCAAAGTAGCTAACATTCTGAAGCTTGTTGCTTTTTATTGATCATAGTTTTATGTCTTAGGTCATGTTGTGCTTTTCCTCCGAACCCCTATTACCCTCAGAATAAAACCCACACTCTTTACCGTAACCCACTGCTTCTCTCTCCTGCCTCTGCTTGCTCACCCTGCTCTATTAACACTGTCCTTGCCACTTCCTCCCTCAGACTTTCACAGGTCTAGTCCCTGACTGCATTCAGCTAGGTGCTCAGATGTCACCTCTTCAGTAGTAGTAGTAGTTCCCACCGCCTGACACTTGCACTCACCCCCACCCTCAAAACATGAACTCCATGAGGGTGGAGACTATTCCATTGTATCAACCCATGTGAGGGCAAGCTGACACATAACTATTTATTTGAGCACTTAAAAAAAAAAGGCAAAGCCACTTGTCTCTCATACCAGCTCAATTTTATTTTTAAAGTGACAAATTACAAGTGGATAAAATTTTAAGCAATATCTTCCAAATTCATTTACACGACAAGGAAGGAGCCGAATCTAATTTTGCTCCATCACCAACTAAAAGTAGTTCTCTAGCAATAATTTATTAGAAAGTCACAGCACAGAAACAGAACACCCTGGAGTTGTGGTCCATTTGTAAATTGGTTTTCACATAAGCTTAGCTGGAAGAATTGGTTTTATGTTCATCCTGATCAATGGCCAAAGCAGGAACAGGTGGTCTCTTTCTACTTACTTTGAGCAAATTATGCCCTATGTAAGCAGTTGGAGCCTGGTCCATCCAGCTGGCTCACCCTACCTGCCATGGAACTGATCTGCCCTTTGATCCTCCAAGGGGAGGTCCCTGGTCTGAGTCAAACTCAGGCACTGTATAAACAAATGAGGGTGGACCTGACAGGTGGCCTCTGCTTTAAGTCGGCAGCTTAGACATTAGCAGCTTATCTTCATGACTACTATGGGAAAGAAGTGAACAATAATGGCTAAAGGTTAAGGTAACCCTAAGTTCAAGTTGTAGTCCACCTGCCAGGACAAATATCCCTCCAAACAAGCTATAATTTACAGTGAATTCAACCAACTGTAGTCCCTAGTAGAGTTCAGTCACATTATCTACATTATCTAAACATGATCATGTGAGCAGGAAGCCCTTTTTAAGTATGGCTGTGCAACAAGGAGAGAACAGTCCTTTGGAAGGGAGTGGAATCTGGGAGGTGGAGAACACTGAGAAGTTCTATGCCTTTCCCAACCCTCAAATCATGTAGGCTCACTGGTCAGGTGGGGGCTGGCTGTGCCTGTGGCCAAGCCACCAGTATTCCCCATGGCTTCTGTTGCTCTCACGCTGCCGGGACATGGAGGGTTTATTTTTCTTTACAAGTAAGCACTTTGGTGGGAGAGCATTGCAAAGGTTGTCAACAGAAAATCATTAAATCCACAAAGAACAAGGTATGGGGGGGTCACAGACAAGCAGTTACATCGGCATATCATTTAAAACACTGGTCCTCACCACAAGGCTTGGAAGGTTGAGGAACCTTCCAGGAGAGATGATCAGACAGACCCCTCCATTCCAGTCACCTAGGGTACAGAACAGTAGGAACTAAGGTGGCCCTGCAACACCGGGACCACAGCCCACTCAGCGTGAAGCAAGGAGTAGAGAGACCGGAGAGCCAAGTCCAATCCACAGATGTGCTTTCATTCCTTAGGAGGATCATCTAGAATCTAGATTCAAAAATGTGTTAGCAGCCCTGAGATTGTGCCCTCTGTAACTCTGCCATGGGATGGGGAGCGGGGGGAACCACAGACCTAGAGATGGGCCAGCACGCCCACTTCGTGCCTTGGGGCTTGCTAGGGAGGTTGAGTGCTGCTCTCTGGGCCGTGCTTTACTGGTGGAACTGAATTACGGCAAAGCCACTAGAAGCACAAAGTGTCGATGCGGTCACTGGCATCTCGAAAGTATATCCTGAAAATGTAAATGAACAGATCCATATGCAGACTACAGGTGATTTACACTTAAAACATTTAAATATAAATTAAGCTATAACTTAAGTTACAACCAAAACAAAAACCAAAAAGACACTCAGCAATTGAGAATGCTGAACACATACACAGGACACCCCAAATACGAGGCCATTAAAGTGATGCCATTTTCATTGTGCCAACTTTACATTCATCATATGCAAGTCCGGCCAGGCCACCTGTAGCACACACGTCATGCCGTCTGGCACTGCACTCCGGCCCGGGGCCCATCGTCGTCCTCCTCGTAGGCCTCCCTGTGTTGGCGCCAGTTCTGCTCATTGGGATTAAACTCCTTCAGCTCCACCTGCTCCATGTCGTCCGTAATCCTCACTTTCTGTCGAGGAGGGAGCAAAGCTTCCAGCTGCAGAAGCTTTTCTGGAGAAAGCCAGTGATTTTCAGGAAAGAGTACCTGTAAATGGTGAGGTGGGAAAGAACAGGAGCTGTTTGTTTTTCCAATTAAGGCATTGAACAGCATGCCCCGTGAGAGGAAAACACAGTGAACTTACTAAAAACTGTATGATCAGGGTCCCTTTTTCGAGGGGAGCTTTGTAGACAGGCATCCCTTCGTCGCGCACACATTTCAGGTCCCCGTGCTTTATCACCTCACCTGCCACAGGACAAGGTTTGGGTCTGTGTTAGTTACAAAACAGGAAAATAGACAGTGGCTGGGGGCGAGGGGTCAGTCTCCCTTTTAGGAGAGAGCCTGGGGGCAGATTTTAGGGCCTCTGTGGCTGCCAGGCAAAGGAAGGTGTAACTTAGCATCTGACTGGAAAGCAGATCCCAGTCAGTCATCCCTGTCGGGTATGGTCGGGGTGAAAGGCGTGAGGTGAGGGGCTCGGGTAGAACTCTCTGGGGCTGCAGCAGTGTGTCAAGGAGGCTTCTGTGCCCACACTCGGCCTCCATCGCAAAGTGGGCTGGTTTAAAAAAGTGAAGTAGGAGTCAACCAAGTCTAGTAAAATGGGGTGGTGATACCGGTCCTGCTTGCCTCTTCGGATGGTTACAAATATCCTGACCATGAGTGGGAGTCTGCATTTCACACACTCACAGAGCTTGGAGCAGGAAAGGGCCCCAAAGGAGCCCAACCAGCCCACACCTGGTGTGAGAACCTACTCATGGCCACCCTGCAGGGGACGCCAGCTTCCCGGGCAGGGAGCTGACAAGGCGGCTCAGGCCACTGGCAGTCTCCTCGTAGTTAAAATGCACTCACACACTGGTCAGTTACAATGGGTCTCCTCCTAGCTTGCACCCACTGGTTCTTCCATCTGTGTTATTTCAAAAGGCATCATGGGAGGTTAGAGCCCCAGAGCTCTGGCAGTCTCCTCCCTAAAAACGTTATTTCCCTCCAAGTCTGGGAAAGGAAAGAGACAAAAGGGTCTCTGAAAAAGTACGCTTTTCAGCTCAGTAATAAAAATGGGCAAAGAAAGAAATATTAATCAAAAAAATTGGGAGTGGGGGGGAGCATAGCGAAAAAGGGAAGATAAAAGATAAAAACTAATTTATCCGGCAGCCCCCTCTCCTGGGAAAATGGTATTCCACATAAGGAGACTACGCAGAAAGTGAAATTGCTTCACAAGGAAATCTCTGCAAGTACATGACACGAGCTTTTTAAAACAAAGCACATCCATGACTCTATCCTGGGGGCCATCCGCGTGCAGGCTGGGACTAGACATGGCCGTCCGAGCCTACTGCATGTGCAGGAGGCTACCCCGGAGCTGACTGGACCCACGAGGTTGGCCTGTGTTCTTAGTTGTTTGGTTTTTCTTTTCAAATAGTTTTCTGTCTCCTCTTTTCCTATCAGAGGCCACTTCTTGTTGCTCTCAAGAACATCCCCACGCTTCCCTGTCTAACTTGCGGGGGTTGGGAAATCAGGAGACCAAGCGTGGAAAACTGCATGGAAGAGAAGGGAAAGGACTGTGAACCAGGCTCTTCCCTGAGGCTAATATCTCCTCAGTCGGGGCCATCGCACCCTCGTGAAGCTCCTAAGTCACTTTTAATCTGCTGATTCTCGGCAGTGCTCAAGACACCCTGTGTGCCCTCTGGTGAGGAAGGCATTTCAGTGGCAGAAGAACGGAGGAAGAAAGGAGAAGAGGAAATGCAGGAACAAGAAATTAAACAAGAAATTAAAACAAAGGATAAATGCGAAAAAAGAAAATGCAAAGAAACACAATCTCCAGCAGAAAAAGTTTACTGGATATCCTGCCCTTATTTACAATCAAGCCCGGAAATGGGTTCCTCGGGGTGCCCCTGCTGCCAGGGAGGTGGCCCAGGTGGCCACTTCCTTTCCAGTGATGCTCCTTCCTCACTACCCTCATTCTGTCCTTGGCTCCCAGGGTCTCTGTGGCTGGCACCAGCTCAGAGGCAGCAAGGAACGCTGGGTTCCCACGGCAGGACCCTGCCCCAGGGAGCTCCACCTCGGTGACTCAACATCTCAAACCTCCAGCTGTTGGCCAAGGACGAGCTTGCCCAAAGAAGTTACATGCAGACACTGCCCAGCTCCAGCTCTTAGAAGGACTAGACTCTGAGATGACCTGTTTGCAGCAACATTAGGGAATCTTAGACACAATCCCAGGGAGTGCTGAGCATGTACCTGTTCACAACCAGTGGCCTAGAGCTTTGTGTAAAGTGATCCTCAAATCTCCTATACAAGTAATGAGACAAAGTGGGTACTTGGGAGGTCTATGGAATGGAATTTTAAGGAAGATGTTTTATTTTAAATTTTTTCATGCAAATATTGCATTATATTGCAGTGCTTTCTCCCAAATCTTGATTATGTGTACACACACACAGGGCAAATGGAAAAGCAAGTAGGGTAAAATGTTAAGCAGGCAAACTGGGTAAAAGGGTATATGGTTACTCTTTGTACTATTTTTATTTTATAATTTTTTGTTAGTTGAAGAAAAGGAGGAAACAGACAGAGCCAAGAGCCAAACAGAGAGAGTGGCAGGAAAGAGGAGAAAGCAGGCAAAGACGGGGCGAGGGGCAGAGGGAGAAACAGGCAGAAGACGTCTAGAAGTCGGTCAGGGAGGCGTGGTGGCACCAGGGTCTGCTCACACCACTATCCCTAGAGTCTCAGCCCCACTCTAAACCACCAGTGCCCTTGGACTGGCTTATCTCTCGCTCAGCCCTGAACCTACCCTCCAGCCTTAAACCCTTAGATCCCCAAAGGAAAAGTTACTCCCCAGCCCTATGGCCAGTGAGGGGAGGAGAGCAGCACTGCTCACAGCCAGTGGTGAGGCCAAGGGTGCCTGAGTCACTTAGCCACCACCACACCTTGTCCAGACATGGACTCCTGACTTTTTCCCCCATCTGAAGTCAAGCGCTATTCAGATGCAGCTTTGAGTCGAGGTCCCTGCCTGCTTCTCTCCCTTTTCCAACTTGCTGCTCTCCCCCTCGCCCCTTCTAGACTGGTGCTTTGGTGCCCACAGGACCCTCGACTGCAGTGAACACCAACTCTCCTGGGAGCCGGGAGCCTGGAGTCTCCACAGGTGCACTAGTCAGCCAAAGGATGGGGACCTCGGGAACGCTTCTGGCCCAGAGGCAGTTCCCTCCAGATCCTGTGGGTGTGTGCAGACAAGGGCAGATCCTGTGGAACAAGGATATGCTGACAGGCAATGTCTTTTTTTTCCTGGAAAATTCTAAAATGTTTCTCATCTATAATCGACAAGACAGAGACCAGAGGAACATGTGGATGAATTAGTACAGAGCTCCATTTCTTATAGAAAAATACATTTTTCTCATTCAAGTTTTAATTAAGAGATCCGGTTCAGATTTTAGACCCCCCAAGTTTCCTGTGTGAGGCTCTTCACTGTTCAAATATGTAATATAAATATAAATTTATAAAATTCTCAAGCACACCAGTCACTAGTGATGCCTTTAAATTTAGAGAAAAATAAGTAACTTGGGTAACAGAAGTCAACCTAAATGTGAAGCAAGGCTACCTTGCCAGTACCGTTAGGCCAAACACACAGAACTACCACCACGGGAACACACGTTTGAAACGTTACCTGATTTGGAGGTAATAACAAGGATTCGATCATCCAGTGTTTTTATTGTCTTCTTGAAGCCACAAAGGGCTTCCGAAAGCTGAATTTTCATTTTCATGATCAAATCATGGCCTCGTCTCTGAAAGACACTATGATCCTTCTGATCAAGCACAATTATGACATCACCAGGCTCCAGCTCAGGCTCCTGATCTCCTTCGCCATGAAATAGTATCTTCTGCCCATCTTTCATACCTACGAAATATCATCCCTCTCTGATTAGCCATGTCTCTTAAAAATCACTTCCCGTAAAGCTTTTGAAGAAGAATCATAGAGTCCTTTGGGGGTCCTTTATTCATCAAACCTGCCAACCTTATGTGGGCATGGGGACGGGAGTGGCAGCTGGGGTTACAGCTGAGAAGAGGTCATGCTTCCCTGGGCAAAACATGAGTCCTCACCTAGGCGTGCAGCAGGGAGGGAGAAACGGGCCATGACACCCACAGGCCACACCGCACTCCCTGCCCACCAAGCACTGTGATGCCACAAGTAGCACCACACCACCCACTTCCCGGTGCACACACTGTGCATGGCTCTGGGGACTGAGGGGGACAGGGCAGCTTGCCCTGCCACTTTCTAACAAGTCAGTGTATGCACACAGGCATAGGGTTAAGGTGCACTTAAACAAGAAGCCCCTTTCACAACACCTATGCTGGTTTGGGTGTGATTCTTGTACGTTTGGTCTCATCTCTGCTCTAGGATGTATTTGCTGGATTGGGAAGCCACAGCAAAACCAAGGGATAGTTTGGAAAACAGCTGAGACTCAAAGCATGCTGAGAGTGATAGTGCCAGGTGGACGGATCGCAGGGAAGGCACTGTATTTGGGAGGCTCTGATGCAGCACAGCGGGACGTGTGGGGAAAGGGACATGATGCTACAAAGACTCACACCAGGCAGTATGAACCATGGGTAATAAAAGCTATTAGGAAGAACATTCCAAAAGATCCTAAAGGAGTGGTTCAAGAGTGGCAAGAGAGAGCAATTATCCAAAACTGGGGTCAAGTAAGACTTTGGGAGCGCTGGAGAACTTTAAAAAAGGTTGCTTTTGATCTCAAGGAAGCTGACCTCAGGAAGAGAACTTTGGCAGGTGACCAGGGAGGGGTCAAGAGAAGATGACTTGGAAATAGGGGGAATTTATGGCACACCTTACTATTGCTTAAATGTACGCTGTAATTTATCTTATGTCTCTATACCCAACCCGTGGGTCCCACGATTAGCACCTGATTAGCATTTCTAGCAAGAAGTGCAGCCTCACCTTTTTCAACGTGCACCTCGATAATCTTCTTCTCTCGGATCACCTTGGCGCCACTGCAGCTCTCGCAGCGGTCCTTGGGGTTGATGCGCTCACCCTGGCCCTTGCACTCGATGCACACAGTCTGGATCTGCTGCACCATGCCCGGCCCGATCTGCTGAATGTGGATCTGCATTCCCCGCCCCTTGCACAGTGGACACTTCTCCACAGAGCCCTTCTTCCCCCCGACACCTGCAGAGGGGACAGCAATGAGAGCCATGCTCGTCCCTCGGAAGTGGCCCTGCTGGGTGCCACAGCACAAGGGTGATGAACCATTAAATTGGACAGTAGGGTCTGAATTCTGACTATGTACAAGCATGAAAAGCAATATAGAAGAGTCTCGATGATTCTAGTCAAGCAGACAATATTTAGATATTAACATCAGATATCAAACATTTGTATGTATGGCTGTGCCAAGACAAATTCATTACTTTAGCTTCTCTTTCTTCCATCCTCAGGTGGAAAAACACCCAGGCCTATTGGTGAATGAGTAGGCTAGGGCTGTGGAGAACTGAAGAACGCAGCTCTGCCAATAGGGGTGGCTACCCAGCCAGTTCTCTGTGGGACACTGTGGGTTGAGGTCATCAGATATGACTTGTCTTGAAAAATCAGATTTAAAAAAACAGTAATTGTTTAAGTCAGAGGTCAGCAACCTACAGCCTGCTGCTTGGTTTTGTAAATAAAGTTTTACTGGAACACAACCATGCCCATTTGTATACAAACTGTCTAAGGCTGCTTTTGTGCAAATTTGAGTAGGTAGTTATGACAGTGACTATATGGCCTGTAAAGCCTAAATACTTTATAGAAAAAGTATGTCAACTGCTAAGTTGAGTGAACTCTCTTGATTTTTAAATTTTTAAAATAACTGTTGACGTGTTAAATAAAGGTACAGCCCAAATAAAACACTCCTTCAGGTACACAGATCTGGCCCTCAGGTCACCTGTTTTTGCAACCTCTGTTTGACCCTCACATTTAAAAGATAAACAATTTTTCTCTGAATTATAACCAGCCTTGTTTTTGGATCTAAGGGGTCAGAACAGTGAGATTCATTCAAAAATTCATTTTACCTTCGCATTTCTCACAAATTACATTTTTCTGCAGGGCCAATTTCTTTGTGACTCCATTATATAAATCTTCAAGACTTACAGACAACTGATGTACAACATTCTTGCCTTATCGAGAAAAAAAACACACAAAATTAGTTAATACTGTATTAAAAATACCACGGTATTAAATACCACCCTCCTCCCAATTTATGCTCAGTCATAGAAGTCTCCAGAGACTGGAAGCCATGCCTGTTCCCTGTTCATTCACTCCCTTCCTAAGGGAAGCAATGCCTCTATTATGCCTGCCTGTCCTTCTGGCCCTCTGCCAGGGATGAGAATTAATATTCTCTCCAGCTATGGGGTAGTGATTCAATCATTAGATGTCAACAAAAAGAGTTTCCACCTTTATTTTCTGAGAACAAATCTGAGGACAGGGAGATCACCAGTTGAGAAAACCGAAGGCAATATTAGCCAATCAAATTGGTTCAGTTTTCCCCATAAAAGGGGCCCTTCCACAGAGATGAAAATGCCTTCGACCTTTAACTGAAACTCTTCCTTGGGCATAAAGCTCTTCACATTCTGGGAAGCCATCACCCTTTTGTAATTTGTGGCTAAGCAGGAATTCTTTCATCTGCCAAAATCATGCTTCTGCATGAAGAACAATGGGCGTTTCGTCCAGGGCTATGCCAGCCTGTAAGGACTGGGGCAGCAAGCCCCTCACTGCACCGCAGGGCTTTCAATCACCAAGACAAGCTGTCCTTGTGTACTGGTGTCACCTCTGAGAGATGACTTAATTAAGGGTGTGAAGTTGTTCATCTCCAGACAGTGAGAGAGCTGGCAATACCCAAGGGTTTAGTCAAACGTCCACACTGTCAATTACACAAACAGGCAAAATACCCAGACAATGGGGATAGAATTGTTCCTAATAAACACTTTGTGATTTTCAGGACACTGTGTTCACAGAATTGACCCTTAAGCTTTCTAAAGTCCAAAGTCAATTATAATGTGAGAACAAGTGCAGCCTCATCTATCTAGGGCCTCTCATTGACCAGTATCACACTCCTTTAAACTCCAATGCAGAGCTTATTTTTTCCGATTTTATCCAGAACTGTAATAAGCTTGGTTATCTGGTGTTGAGGTCCAAAGGGGATTATCAACAGCAAACTGAACAGGCGGTAAGGGCCTAATGGAGACCAGTCAGAGGTGACAGCTCATTGTCTAGCAGGAGCTAAGATGTAGAAAATTGGGAAGAATAAACCCAGAACTCAAAACTAGCAGCCTAAGGCCGTGCAGCTAGGAGCTAAGAGTGCCTCCCCCACCTCCCAGGAAGGAAGCTACTGTCTAGGACGCAGTCTGAAAAGAGAGGCAGGCAGGTCATTCTACAAAGATTTTAAAACATAAAGAAGTTTGTTACCTAGAAAATCTCCTGAGAAGGCTGAGAAAATGGGCAGTAGTGAACACGGCAGAGGACCAAGCAGGACGAGGGAGAGCCCGCAGGCCCTGGCCCAGGTCGGGGGGAAACAGGTCCGACAAGAACGAGTGAGCGGAGAAGAAAAGCACTCTTGGCAGAGACATTATGAACAATCATAAACCCACTGCTATTGGGTCGATTCTGACCCCACGTGTTACAGAGTAGAACTGCCCCATAACGTTTTCTTGGCTGTGATCTTTATGGAAGCAGACTGTTAGGCCTTTCTTCAGAGGTGCCACTGGGTGGGTTCGAACAGCCAACCTTTCGATTAGTAGCCGAGAGACCATTTGCGCCACCCAGGGACCTAATGCCATTTATATCCCTCAGGACACAGGTGCCTGACCCCAACAACAGAGAAAAAGAGGACAACAAGATGATCTTGACCTTCCTCTTCTCTACCCACTGCTCCATTTACTCCTTTCACACCTGCCTCGTTTGGAGGGTGTCTGGAGGCTGTCAGGTAGTTGCTGAATATGTAAAGAAATTCAAGGTAGCCTGGATACAAGTGAAGAACCATTTAAAACCAATGATCCTAAAACATGACAAGTATACCCTTTTAGAGCATGATCTGTCCTGATTCCAGCAGCATGTGTCATTTTTGGAAACTATAAACTTGCTTACATTTCTTTAAGAGCATTTACCTCTTCTCTCTCTAGCCATCCGTCCTCCACCACCGAAGAACATGTCAAAGATGTCCATGGGTGACGAGAAGCTGGGGCCAGAGCCACCTTCCTTAATCGCCTGCTCCCCGCCCTGGTCATAAATGTCCCTTTTCTTTGGATCTGAAAGCACTTCATATGCCTGGGATATGAGTTTAAACTTTAAAAGAAAAAAAGAGAGGAGATGTGAGTTGTCTGATTAAGCAAACCCACCATATGGATGGTACGCAGTAACAGAGGTATTCTGCACCCAACCCCCAAACTAGCTGGTCTACTATACATTCTCTATCTAGAACTTTACTCTTCCATTTACTCCCCTCATAAAGTGGGAAACAGAGGACAAATACCCTTAAGGAACTGGTGGCAGGGACACTGCGGAGAATAAGAAAAGGCAGCAGGGCAGGACGGTTTCTCCAGACTCTGGCTGCAACAGAAAGAAGTCACGTTGGGCTAGGATGCAGTGGCACGTGCCGGATGAAGCCCAGGGCTCTGGGGTGCTAGTCCTGGCATCCAAGCTCATGGGAACCGCTTTACTTGTTTACTAGCATGAAATTCAACTGCAGCCATCTTCAAGCACCTAACCACATGCCAGATGTTATACACAAACCTGTACTTCCCACCTTCCCCTCAAAACCCGCTCCTTCCACAATCTCCTTGTATCTTAGTTAACTGGCCACACCAAAACCTGTTTTCCTCTCACCCTCGCACAAGCTCATCTGTCAACAAACCCTGTTGGCTCTACCTTCAAATTTGTATCTTCAGTAACCTGGGACAGACCCAACATCCTCTGTGTAGTGCTCCTGCCAAAAATGCGTCACCAGAATCCAATTGTCAGAAAACCTAAATTGAGGGACAGTCTGCAAAACTGGCCTGGACTCTTCAAAATGCCAATCGTGAAACAAAAGATTAAAGGAAACCAACAGGAAAACTAAATGCAACGTGTGATCCTGGGCTGGATCCTGCACTGGGGGAAAAAACGGCCACAACAGACATAATTGGAACAACTGGAGAAATGTCAACTATTTTTTTCCTCAATGTTAAATTTCTTGAATTTGATAACTGTCCTACAGTTACGTACAAGGATGTCCTTGTTCCTGAGAGAAATGCCGAAGTATTTAGGGGTGAAAGGTTATGATGTAAGCAACTTACTCTCAAAATATTTCGCAAATAATAATAGTAATAATAAGAGAAATGGATAAAGCAAATGTGGCAACATATTTACTACTGGTAAAGCCAGGTGAAGAATATGCAGGTGTTCACTCTCTTCTGTTGGTATGGTTTTAAAAATAAAATAAAGACACTAAAATATCCCAAATTGCGGTGGATTAATTACTTTTGTGTGTGGCCTTTCTAGCCATGGTCTTATAACTCCCACCCAGGTGACTGGGCAGGACTGTGTGATAAGGTAATTGTGGCCTACCAAGGGGATTGGTCAGTTTTGCCTTATAAGAGAGCCAATTCCAGAGCACAGAGGAGAAGCCCACCACCATCAACCAAGACGAGACCAGCAGGAGAGACCTGGCAGCAAGAGATGGCGTGGTAGGCTTCCCGTCCCAGGGAGACAGAAAGCTGAGTGCCTTTGGGCAGAGACAGAAGGCCAGGGAGAGGTGTGCCTATGAGCACAGCTGGGAAGAGGCTGTCCTGATGGAAGAACTGTATCCCGAGTGTTCCTGAGCCTGAACTTAACTGTTACTTTGCTAATAAACTCCGTAATTGTGAATATGGTCTGTGAGTTCTGTGTGGCCACTGCATGAATTATTGAACCCCAGTAGAGACTGCTGTGGGAGGGACGGCTGGTGTCAGAATTGGTAAAGATGGCAGAGAGAGGAGGTCTGTCTGACCTCCACCTCACAGGAATCAGTCTTGGGCTGTTGATCTTGATTCTCCTTTGCCCTTGTGAAGTTGGAGGTCAGACACCACCCCCATGCCGTCTTTACACAAATCCATCCCTTCTCACCACCACCATTTCTGCCCTGGCCAAGGCCACCAGTTCTTGCCTGGATTGCTGTAGTGGCCTCCTCACTGGTCTCCCAGCTTCTGTTCTCACCCCAGCTTTGTCTGCTCTCCACACAGCAGCCAGAGTGAGCCTGTCAGTCATGTTGATCCTCTGCCCAAAACCCTCCAAGGCAGCCTCATCTCACTTGGAGTAAAAACCAGTCTTTACTCTGACTGACAAGCACAACCTGACACCTCTCTGCCTTCATCTCTTCCTACGCTTCACCCCACCCTCCATTCTCCAGCTTCAGTGGCCTCCTTGCTGTTCCTCAACACCCCCACATGCACCTGTTCTTGGCCTCCCCATCACCTCTTTCAAGCCTTTGCTCAAATGCCACCTTCTGAAGGAGGCTTCCCCAATGACCTTGTTTTAAAATTGCAACCCCACCCCCAGAACTTCCCATCTCACCTACCTGCTTTATTTTTCTCCATAGCACTAACCATCTTCTAGCATACACCATCATTTACCGCTTACATTGTATGCCCCCACTGCAACATACGCTTTTTTAAAATTTTTTTAGTGTTGTAGTTTAAATGAAATTTACATTTCAAGTTAGTCTCCCATACAAAAATCTATACACACATTGTTACGTGACCCTAATTGCTCTCCCCACACTGTGACAGCACACTCTTCCCCTCCACCCGATTCCCCATGTCCATTCAAGCAGCTCCTAACCCTCTCCGCCCTCCCATCTCACCTCCCGACAGAAGCCAACCATTTAGTCTCCTGTATCTACTTGAGCTAAGAGGCACATGCCTCGTGAGTATCACTTTATGTCCCACAGTCCAGTCCAATCACTGTCTGAAGAGTTGGCCTTGGAAATTGTTTTAGTTCTGGGCTAATAAGAGAATCCAGGGGCCATGCTTTCCAGGGATCCTCCAGTTTCAGTCAGACCATTAAGTCTGGTCTTCTAGTAGAATTTGAGTTCTGCACACCACCTTTCTCCTGCTCCATCCGGGACTCTCTGTTGTGTTCCCTGTCAGGGCAGTCATTGTGGTAGCCGGGCACCATCTAGTTCTTCTGGTCTCAGGCTGATGAAGTCTCTGGTTTATGTGGCTCTTTCTGTCTCTTGGCCTAATACTTTCCTTGTGTCTTTGGTGTTCTTCATTCTCCTTTACTCCAGGTGGTTGGGGCCAATTGATGCATCTTAGATGGTCGCTTGCAAGCTTTTAAGACCCCAGACGCCATTCACCAAAGTAGGATGCAGAACATTTTAATAAACTTTGTTATGCCAATTGACCTAGATGTCCCCTGAAAGCATGGTCCCCAAACCCCTACCCCTGCTACTATGTCCCTCAAAGTGTTTGACTGTATTCAGGGAACTTCTTAGCTTTGGTTTAGTCCAGTTGTACTGACTTCCCCTGTAGTGTGTGCTGTCCTTCCCTTTACCTAATTCTTACCTACTATCTACTTAGTAAACAACGCTCACCCTCCCTCCCCACCCTTGTTTTCTTCTGTGTTTAAACCTTTTCTTAAGTTCATATAATAGTGGTCTTATACAATATTTGTCCTTCTGTGACTGACTAAATTCCCTCAGCATAATGCCCTCCAGATTCCTCCACGTAATGTTTCACAGCTTCATTGTTGTTCTTAATCGTTGTGTAGTATTCCATTGTGTGGATATACCATAATTTGTTTATCCATTCATCCACTGATGGGCACCTAAGTTGATTCCATCTTTTTCCTATTGTGAACAGTGCTGTAATGAACATGGGTGTGCGTCTATCTATTCATGTGACGGCTCTTATTTCTCTAGGATATTTTCCAAGGAGCGGGATAGCTGGATCGAACATACGCTTCTTGAGGACAGGGAATTTTGTCAGCCTTGTCCACTGCTGTATACCCAAGCTTAGAACTGTGCCTGGCACAATGAAGGCAATCAGTAAATATTGTTAAATGAATGGCTCGATTCTGGGAATACCCATGAAAGAGGTAGGGTCTTGGCCTCCCTTGACCTATAGTTTATATACAAATATTCTATCATGCAGCTGACTCCATAAAACATACAGATGCTCCAAGTGCTATGAAGATACAAATATGGAAATGAGTAACAAAGATACTATGTTTTCTCTTGTTCTACAGATCTCTGAGCTGAGGCAGCTAATAAGAAAACCAAACCCACTGCTGTCCAGTTGATTCTGACTCATAGCGACCCTACAGGACAGAGTAGAACTGCCCCAAAGGGTTTCCAAGGAGCAGCTGATGGATTCGAACCACCAACCTTTCGGTTAGCAGCCAAGCTGTTAACTACTGAGCCACCAGGGCTCTGAGGTAGTTAATGGGGCAATTAAAAAAAAAGTCTTAAATAGACATCAGAGTGATACATGGGGCAGTTAGATCTTTTGATATGTTAATCTGCACGTCATTTCTGTAAAGAAGTATCATTCACCATTTACTACTACCCCTTTCCTCAACATAAAAATTGAGGTATAGGAATCTGGTGCCTAGTATGGAAGATCAGAAAGCAACTAGGTTGGGCTGCATCCTGAGAACTTCCCGGGCCTGTTGTTAGGTCAGGAATTAGGTAAATATGCTTCATAAGAATGCCCACTAGAAACACTCACCAAATACCCTGGATGGTTGAAAGACACTTGGACTTAAAGGAATTAATTAATCTAAGAATGGAAAAGGATGGTAGTGACTTCCCTGTCACTTGGGGCATTCAATCAGAGGCCAGATCTAACATAGCGTGGAGGCTCCGACTACCTGTTCTGGAGTCCACCCCACCTCTGGGGTCCCAGCATTGCAGGGTATAATAGCCCACCCCTTGCCTGTACCTGCTTCTCACAGTTTGGGAGATTACTGCTCTGACCAGCTCACTTTTCAGATAGTGATAATCTGCCACACCCTTAATGGATTATTATGCAGCTGGAGAACTGGCTGTGAAGACGATGTAGCAACTTGGAAAAGTCCATGTGATAAAATTCCAAGTGGAGAGAAAAAAAAGTCTATGTTCCAGAATGACCACAACCATCCTGGAAAGGCCTGGAAAGAAGCACAATGAGAGTGGCTAGGGTGAAATGTTCTGCAATGTTCTGCTGTCTTTTACGATGTTCTAACTTGAAAATCAGTAATTCAGACGAAGTGTTACAGTGAAATCGGCCAAAAAGCCAAACTCATCTCAAAAGCTGGTTAGGGTAGTAGCCAAGAATACACACCCCTTCACTGCTCTTGAAAGGGACTATCTTGCTGACCTGCCACCCTTGTGTCTTACAGAAAACCAGCTGCAGATAAGTACAGAGACTCCACACAGAGCGCCCGGCAACAAATGCAGGCTGCCCACTGCTTAGCAACACGGGACAACAGGGCAAAAAACAAAGCCTGACACCCCACGGCCTTCCCAGTTGTCCCGAATCAAGAGGGAAAGGGTTGGCTTAATCTATTTTTGAAGAGACATTAATAGTACAGTGACAAACTTAGGAGGGAAAAAAATAAAAAGGTTCCGTCTGGGACAGATAAAGCCGGCAAGAACAACATTCAGACGTGCACGAGAAAAGACCTGCGACATGTACCAGGCGCACAGTAGGACCAGAATAGGAGCTAGCTGGTGAACAAATGAATGAGTCCTTTCCTGGGAACTTCACAGCAGAGTTGCTATAAATTGTGTTCCCTCTCTCCTCTCCCCCTTTGATTTCCAATTCAAATTTCCACTGATCTCAGAATTCACCCTCCTTTCACCAAAACAAACTTCCTTCCAATCTGTGCCTTCTACAAGAGCTCTCCCCTCCTCCACACAGAAATTGTAAATGTGCTTTTCTTCTTGTGACCTCTCTCTTTATTCATTCATTCAGCCAGCCAACACACATTTTAGCATCTACACAGCATGGCTAGACACAGGGCATGTAGTCGGCATGCGAGCCACAGCCCCTGCGCTGCTAATGTTCCGGCAGAGAATAACCACTGCCGTCGAGTCGATTCCAACTCATAGCAACCCTACAGGACAGAACATAACTGCCCCATAGGGTTTCCAGTGAGCGCCTGGTGTATTCCAACTGCCGACCTTTTGGTCAGCAGCCAAGCTCTTAACTACTGTGCCACCAGGGCTCCCTGGCAGAGACTACCAGTGTCAAATGAGTAATCACAATTAAAGTAGAATGAGTGTGAGGACAGTGGGTCAGTCTATAGGTCAGAGGCAGCCTCCTGGATGATGTTTCAGCTGAGAACTAAACTGTTCTACTCCCTTTCTGGACGGTGAGGAGGAGACAGGACTTCTAGCAGTGGGCACATCACAGAACCTCTCCAAGCTGCAAGGGACCTGCCAGACCTCCCTTACCACGAAGAGCCCTCACTTATGTGACACTAATTCAGTGCCTGGTTATAAATAAATATTTAAAACAAACCACCTGCCCAGACAGGCGTATACAAGGCAAATGCCACACAGATGTAGTATAGGTCAAATCCGATTGGAAGAAAAGAAGCTTCAGAACACCAAAAGCATACTCATTTCAAACTGTATTCGCACAACCATGAACTTACTCTTGGTAAATGCTATGAGATTTGACTTGAAACCAGGGTCAGAAGGCTATCCCACATGTTGCCTTTAGTCAGTCTGCTGGAAGGTGGAATTAGAAGCCTAGAAGTGCTCTCCCTGAAGGAGATCCTCAGAAACAAACTACAATGAACTTAGGGAGTATGTCTATGAATCACCAACATCAAGTAGAAAGCTGGCGACTTTAAAAGCTACAGTAAGCCACCTAAATATAGATGAGAAAGAACATGAGTGGGTAACAGACAAATGGTCTTACAGAAAAGCATTTTAAACTTGTGACAGCCACATGTGGCTAAATATAAATATTCTATCATTGCTGCCACCCAGCCGACCTTCCTTAAGCAGCTTTCGCCAGCATGGAATAATGAACACAGACAGGTATTTCAATACTACTGTCACTGCCACAGGTCTAAATGCTAGTCCAGTGATTGGTGGCTTCAAAAGTAGCCCATGTATCGCTATTAGCTACTACAACACGTCCACCACCTCAGCCCACCCAGGACAGCCAAAGTTTTGTTTTTTTATTTTAATTGTCCTTTAAGTGAAAGTTTACAATTCAAGTTAGTCTCTCATACAAAAATTTATACATTCATTGTTATGTGACTCTTGTTGCTCTCCCTGTACTGTGACAACATACTCCTTTCCACCCCGGATTTCCCGTGTCCATTCAAACCAGCTCCCGACCCTCTCTGCCTTCTCAGCTCACCTCTGGACAGGAGCTGCCCATTTAGTCTCATGTTATCTACTTGAGCTAAGAAGCACACTCCTCATGAGTATCATTTTATGTCCCACAGACCAGTCGAATCTTTGTCTGAAGAGCTGGCCTTGGGAATGGTTTTAGTTTTGGGGTAACAGAGAGTCCAGGGGCCATGTCTTCTGGGGTCCCTCCAGTCTCAAACCATTAAGTCTGGTCTTTTTACTAGAATTTGAGTTCTGTACCCCACTTTTCTCCCGCTCCATCAGGGACCCTCTGTTGTGTTCCCTCTCAGGACGTTCATTGGTGGTAGCCAGGCACCATCTAGTTCTTCTGGTCTCAGGCTGATGAAGTCTCTGGTTTATGTAGCCCTTTCGGGACAGCCAAAGCTTAATAAGAAAATGGTTAAAAATGAAAGGAGAAGTGGGAAGGATAACACACTTTTCTTGCTTGCAATGCCTGATCCTCAAAGTCACCTATCTGGGTGCCTCATGAGCATCCTTGGGGATAAAAGGCAAGCTGTCTCTGTTCCTGTGAAAGCTAAAAAGGATTAAGGTTTTTATTATTCAAGGCATTTTTCAGCCTATTAGAGGTACTTATGACCAACCATGACTCATCTGTCACAGAAAACCTGAAACATGTATGTAAAATAATGTGCCGCCTTACAGATCTTCCTGTCCCTGTTTAAAAAAGAAAATGGGATTATTCAAATGTCGACCAACCTTCATCAAGCAGGGGAGGGACACCAGGTTTGTCCAAGGTACTAGCTCAGACTAAAAGAAACTCGCCCGCAGGGCTTATGCATCAACAGGGAATACGAGCACAAAAATAATTCAGTCCCAGTGGTTCCTAGCAAATACACAACTTCTGGTCGTCCGTGCCTCGGCTTCCCTGTTTTCTGGCTCCCTCTCCCACCTGCAAACTCCATTGAGAACTGGGTTCCCACGTTTAAGTCCCAGCGCCTCGCCGGCGTCTTGCACAAACCGTAGGGGCTCCATAAACACTTGTGGGGTGAATGGAGGAATTAACAGGCTGCCCAAGGGCTCAAGAGGGATGTAAGTCCCTCGGTCCCCGGCACCAGCCTATCCTCCGCCGGGCGAGGCTGCGGCTCGGCCAAACGCCCTGCACCTGACTATGCCGCGCGGCGCCCTCTCGGCCTCGGGCCGCCGCCGCCCCACTGCGGGCAGCGCGGTGCCTGGCAACCGCCTCACCAACGCACGCGGCTCGGGTTCCCCGCCACCATCAATAATTCACAGCCCCCGTCCTCCGGGCTCAATAATTCACGGCCGCCCCGCGGCGCCCCTAGCCTCCCCGCGCCCGGCCCGCACCTTCTCGCCCTCATCCGGGTTCTTGTCCGGGTGGAACTTCAGTGCCAGCTTGCGATAGGCCTTCTTGATCTCCTCCGGGGAGGCGCTGGGCTTCACCCCCAAGATGTCATAGTATTGGGTCTCCTTCACCATCTTGTCTCTGCGGGGCGGGCGGGGCGAGGCCGGTCAGCGCACCCCGGACGCCCCTGCCGGGCCCCTCGCCCGCGCCCCCGCTGCCTGCTGGTCCGTCCGTTACGGTCACGGCCGCAGCCGCCGCCGCCTGGGGCTCCGCCCGCCCACCCGCGCCGGGCCGACTCCGTGCCGGGTACGCCGCACTCGAGGCGCCGGCTCCTCCGCGGCGGGTTTTATTCGGCGCCGGCGGAAGGTTCCGCAAGGAGACAGTGACGCCACAAAAGCCTAGAACCTTCGCGGATGTTCCGGCGGCGTCCGGGACGGCCCGACTGAGGCGCGGCCGCGGGTTGGCAGCCCGTACCCCCGACGCCCACGCGCGGTGCAGTCCGGCCCGCTTACCTGGTGTCGTCAGGAGCCTGTTCCTCTGGCTGGCCGTCCGACTCCCCCGAACTCCACTTCTGACTGCTGCCCCGGGCCATGTTGGGGGCTTTGGAAGACGGCTTCTTCGTGGGGGGCGCCTTCCGACGTCCGTCCCGCCGCCCTGGGGCCGCCCCCTTGCCCTTCCGTGTGTCCGTGGGATCGGCTGGCTCGAGGATCGGGTTGCCTGAAGGGCAGCGCCGGCTGGAACCCTGCACGGAGGAGCTGGACTGAGAGACCTGCGCCCTGCGGTCCCCACCCGGCTCCCTGTGGGTGTGGCCGCCCTCTGTTTGGTCACAGCCACGGTGTGCACTGAGAGCTACCCGGGATTGTTGCATTTTTGAGGGGTTTGGAGTGAGTAGGGGCTCTCTACCATGGCGGGACCCTGTTCCCCTAGGCCCTACAGGAGCTGGCTGCCCCCGGGGCATCTTCAAGGCCGGGTAAACCTAAGTTCTTCCAGATCTGAACAGTGGTCTTTCGCTGGCTCCAAGTGTGGACAGTGACCTTTCCAATGCCCACAACTGGGAACCCCTGAAGTCTCCCAAGTGTGGGTAGTGACGTCCCCCACATATGGGCAGTGACGTCTTTCATATGTAAGCAGCAACGCCCTCCAGGTTTCCCAAGTCCCCTTTTGTTCTAGGGGTGGGAAACGGCCCTCACTCCCGCGTGTCATCGGTGAGCGAACCACCAAGGCTGCACCAAGCCCGACAGCCCATGTTGCACAGTTTGGGGGAGTGGCTGGGGGCCAACGGCTCTGGCTGGAGCCTGTAGGGTCTCCCAGGACGCTGCCCAGCCCTCAGTGGGTCTCCGGGGAGCCATGATCACGACTAGCAGCAGAAGGGTGGATGAGGAAAACCGGACCAAGCGCTTATCAGGGAACTGCACGCCCTGCCCCACCAGGCCAGCCTCAGCTTCTGCGGTGGAACACTTTGTCAGGAAGGGGCGACCCTGTTCACCTCTCTGGATCTTTTGGCCTTGTTTTGGGGTGCCACTGTTCACCTCTCTGGATTCTTTGGCCTTGTTTTGGGTCCTGCTGCAGGCATCACCCTCCTCTATGTGTTTAATGGGGGTGAGAAAGGACTTTATTACCCAAGAGCTGCTCGTTTCTGTTCTTGGAAACATTGCTTTTTACCCTCTGATTCATGCCCCTGTGGACAGTAACCTTTGGGCAGAGGAAAGAAGTCAGAGCTGGAGGTCAGGAATCTTGGATTCTATACCAGATCTTATTAATTCTGTGGGCCTGAGCCTCTCTGAGCTAGTTTCTTCATCAGCAGGACATAGTCATTGTCACCTGCATGCCTGCCTCCCTCACAGGGCTCCTGCAAGGATTGAATTGGGATAACTGTTAAGACTCCTAACACAGTGGGTCTCAAACCTGGCTGGTCATAGGGATCACCTGGGGAGTTTCTAAAAATCCCTGTGTCCAGACCAAATTATATTAGAGCCCTTGGGAGTGGATCCAGGGAATCAGTGTTTGTAAAGCTGTCCACGGATTCCAGTGTTCAGCCAAAACTAGAGGCACAGCACAGCAGCACACAGCTGTCGAGGTTCAATAGTCAGAACCAGTGACATTGGCAGGAGGACCATGTGTGGGAGAGGGATGGCTTAAAGGTGGTGGGGGCCAAGGAGCACAGAATGGGGCATTGTGATGGATAACAGAGGAAACTCTGGAGCCAGCCAGACCTAGGTTCAGAGTCCAGCACTACCATTTCTTTGTGGCCTTGGACAGGTGACTTAAACTTTCTGAGCCTCAGTTTCCTCATCCTCTTAATGGGGATGATTTAAACAGTACCTACCTCATAACGGGGCCCTGGCGGCACAGTGATTAAAGAGCTCAGCTACTAACCAAAAGGTTGGCAGTTCAAATCACAGGCTGCTCCTTGGAAACCCTATGGGGCAGTTCTACTCTGTCCCATAGGGTCACTATAAGTCAGAATCGACTCGACGGCAACGAGTTTGGTTTGGTTTTACCTCATAACATTGATGTGAAAATTAAATGAGATAGTACTAGTCAGGCATCTGGCATATAGTCTTGATACATGTTGATGCACTTGTTTTTGTTTTCTTTTGTCCGAGCTAAAGAAGACTTTAATGATCTAGTACATTGTTTCCCAGAATTATAAGTGGGAGGATTTGAGACTTTACACAGACATTTTTTAATCAGTTATGTGTTTATTTTCATGGTTACTTTTTCTTTTTTGCACATGACATTGGTTTTCCAGCTGCAGTAAGCAATGCAAAGTTTCTTTTTTATTTAAGTTAAAAAAAAGAGTAGATACAAATAGTAAGTATATGATAGTACAGGTGGTACAAGGATGTCTTAGTTGTCTGGTGCTGCTATAACAGAAATACAAGTCGGTGGCTTTAACAAACAAATTTATTTTGTCACAGTTCAGGAGGCTAGAAGTCTGAATTCATTGCTCTAGGGGAAGGCTTTCTCTTTCTGTCGGATCTGGAGGAAAGTCCTTGTCTCTTCAGCTTCTGCTTCCTGGTTCCTTGGAGATCCCCATGTGTCTTGGCATCTATCTGACCCCATCTCGGCTTCTAGCTTGTCTTTAATCCCTTTTATATCTCAAAAGAGATTGACTCAAAATACATCCGTACATTAATCCTGCCTTATTAACATAACAAAGACAACCCATTCCCAAATAGGATTATAACCACAGGCATAGAGGTTAGGATTTACAATACATTTTTGGGGAACACAATTCAATTTATAACAAAGGATAAAGCAAAAATGATGGTACATGAATGGCTGAAATGTTTAGGAAATATTGATCCAATTCCACCACCTCATTTTACCGATGAAAGGACTCTTAGAAGAAGAGGCAAAACTAAAAGGCATAGAATGGCGGTATTGTCCCCTGACTCCCAACACCAGGCTCTTTGTGACACAGGGTGGAAGGAGAAACTTTTGCACAAGGCAGCCTGGGATAGGTTCTCCATGAAGTCTACTGAAGAGGGAGACATCACACGTGACTGGGGAGGGGGTCACGAAAGACTTCATGGAGGAAGGGCATGTATCATAGACCAGGAAGTTAGACCCCCTTTGAGCAGAGGTGGGAGGGAGAGGAGCCATGTAGAAGGGACAGCAGACTAAAAGCAGAGAGCACTGTGCCTGAATGGATGGAGGCTCTGAATCTGGAGAGAAGCAAGGACAGGTACACTGGAGACCTCAATGTCTTGGGAAAGTTTGTTCCTCCTCTGATGGGCCCTAGGGAGCTATTGAAAGTCTCAGAGCAGGAGCTACGTTCAGGGAAGAATAACCAGCAACAGCCATCAGAGACTGGGTGCTTCTGAACCTCCTGGGAGAGGTCTGGGTTGGACAAGCAGATTTGAGAGTTCCTCCAAAGAGGGGCCAGGTGATTGACAGGCTGACCCAGAGAGTGGGTACAGAGAGAGGAAGAAAGTGTCTTGGGAAGCACCTGCCTTGAGGAAGTGGGAGGCAGAAGAGAAGCATCAGAGAAATGCGAAAGTGGAGAGGAACTGAAATCATGAAAGACCAGAGCGATGAGAAGGAGCAGAGGGGACAGTGTGTGGACAGCAGAGAGGCAGGGAATGGTGGAGCTGTGCTTTCAGGGGAGGTCACCGTTTCTCTAGCTAAACCATACCTGTTGCCATGGAGTTGATTCCGACTCATAGCGACCCTATAGGACAGAGTAGAACTGCCTCGTAGGGTTTCCAAGGCTGTAATCTTTATGGAAGCAGACTGCCACATCTTTCTCCCATGGCGCAGCTGGTGAGTTTGAACCGCTGACCTTTCAGTTGGTAGTCAAACACTTAACCACTGCTCCACCAGGGCTTATTTTGAAAGGATGTTAATTTGCTGGGCCCCTATTATAGCAGTTATCACTCCAGGCCATTGTTTCAATATTGCGAGGGACTTCTGCTTGGAGAGACCCTGCCCCTCACTGGCTGTCTGACTTTGGGCAAATTACCTCTCTCTGAGCCTTGATTGGAAACCCTGGTGGCGTAGTGGTTAAGAGCTACAGCTCCTAACCAAACGATCGGGAGTTCGAATCCACCAGGTGCTCCTTGGAAACACTATGGGGCAGTTCTATTCTGTCCTATAGGGTCACTGTGAGTCGGAACCGACTCGACGGCAACGGATTTGGTTTTTTTGGGGGGAGCCTTAATTCTCTCCTTTGTAAAATGGGGATAAGAGCAAGCACATACTTCACAGAGTTATTGTAAGATTAATGGAGACAGTATGTGGAAGGTGCTTAGCGTGTGCCTGACAGAGAGCAAGCGCTCACAAAATGGCATTTATTGATGCCATCATGCCAGACACCTACTGGGTGCTGGCTGTGTGCCAGGTTCTGTGCTGGGCACTGAAAATGCAGGCTGGATGAACGTAGTGCCTAAAGGAGCTCTCAGGCTAGCCAAGCCTGACCACCTGAATCTAATGACTCGGTGTAACCCCCAGCACTCCAGCCCCTTAGAATTTCTAAGAACTCATATTGAAATAGCTAATTATTGCTACCTTGCTTTAACAGGCAAAACCCAAGTTCCCAGCGATGTTTCTGTGGGATGGGGCATCGTTTCCCAGTGGCCACTTCCTCCTGGAACTTGGTCCTCAGCCGGAGCCGCTGCCGTCAGAAGCTCCGAGTGCCTCAGTTTGGGGAGAAAGAACTAGGAAAAGTGAGGGGGGTGGTCACCCTGTTATATATGTATGCTTTACAGACAAGATTCTGAGGCCCTACACACAATAAAAACATATATAGTCCTTAGGGTGAGGGGGGTCCTGGTGGTGCAGTGGTTAAGCATTTGGCTACAAACCAAACGCTCCTTGGAAATCTTATGGGGCGGTTCTACTCTGTCCTGTAGGGTTGCTGCAAGTCGGGACTGACTCAACGGCAACTGGTTTATAGCCCTTAGGATAGTATTTGGCAAAGCATTCAGGACATGTTGACTATTGTTGTTATTTGATGCAAAAAAAAAAAAAAAAAAGACTCCATACATCATACATGTGTCTGCCTAGAAGTATCACATTTGGGACTACAAAAAGCCAAATAAGGTGGAAGGCTGAAAAACCTCTCCTTTGTTCGGGGGAATTGAGCTATGACATTGACCTTCATGGCAGCAGTGTTCTAGGGTGCGCTGTGTGTCTAGTTAATGCTACAGTTAGTTAATGATTTC